TGGGGTGCACACACCTGGGTCTTTCCGAGCTCGTTACAGAGCTGAGCGTCCGTGTCCTCACCTGTCAGATGGAGGTGAGCGCCCCCCGTTCATGGTGAGGCTTAGATGAGCTGTCACGTGTAAGACACGTTTCCTGAGCCTGGCACAGGTAAATGTCCCATTAATTTGAACTCCCTTCCTCCCCTGTTCACCTGTGCGCTCAGAGGCTGCTGAGGAGACAGGGCTAACCGGATGTCAATAGAAACATTCAGAGTTCAGGCTCCAGACAGCTGGGCCACCGAAATATTGGAAAACAGAGTCTGTTTAAGCTTTCAGCACGTTCTCGGTGCACTGATGGTGAGTGGGTCAGGAAAACCGAGCACCCTTTAGACCTGCTCTGAATGAGTAGGATGCTGGAGGGGAAAAGAGAGCCCAGCTGGAGGGAGAAGTGCCCCCTCCGAGTGGCGGGTCAGCGTCCTTCTTAACGCTATTGATTGCCCACAAAGCTTTGTTATTTCAAGGAAATCACAAAGAGAGAATGAGGCACCAAAGACTTCAGAAATTCAAAACGCCCTCCACCCCCAAAGGCCTTCAAATTCAAGTAAAATTGGAGGGCGCTGGAACCACGGGGACCAAACAGCCCCAATGCAGCCAGGCATTGGGAAATCCTATGTGATTCCCCTGCAAGGAGCAGCAACAGACATCCAGTCCCCAGAATCAACCCAACAATCAAACCGGCCGGTCCATCATAGACAACCACATTCTGAAGGACAAGGAAGGACACAGAGGGAAATGAAAGACAGAGGTTCGAGTGGATGTCTTCGAGTATTTTTTTCTTTTTCATTTCAAACTGTGTGCTTTTCCCCTGGTGAAATTTTTTTTAAATTAGTCCTGTTTTGTTTTATTGTGACAACTAATATCCAGGATTTAGTTACTTCCCATGAAAGAATGCAGGCTCTGAAGTGAATTCTGGCACAACCCAGCGGTCCTATTCAGGAGCTATACAGTGTCCCTCTGGCAACTATGGAGACAGCAACTACACAGGGAGCTTGCCTCGACTGAGTCATGTCACTAACACCACTTCTGGCTTACGGCTAGGTGCTATACAGGATCACGCCGTGGACAGCCCCTCTGGACCGGACAGTGTAGCCAAGTCATATTATCAAGGGACTCATCGAGCTATTTTTCCAATGTCTGCTCAATTTACCTGCAAGTTGCCATTTCTGCAAATACGCACAAATAAGGAATTTAAAATAGCCAAGAAAGAACTCAGCCAAATGAAGTTCAGGTGTCTGAAACAGGCAGCGTTAAGAAATCAGAAGAGCGGGGGGAAAAAAGAGAATTAGAAACATGACTTCATATTTAGGGCTCAGGAATAGTGAGATGAGGCTGACTTTGTTTCCGGGTTCTATACCCACTTCCATAAACCAATTTCTACTCGAAAGCAGGATAGTGAAATGGAAGTATTTTGCGTCGCCGAGAGTACCCGCACCGACTGCTCCATCTTGGGGTTGGAGCCACCCATATCCACAATGTATTCATTTTCATCCTAACCGCCTACCTGAAGACTCTGCTCATTTTATAAAAGCTTGAGTTTCTTTCTTTATAAAACAAAAGAAGGGAGGGAGGGAAGGAAGGAAGGAGAGAATGAGAAAGGGAAGGAGGGAGTGAATGAGGGAGGGAGGGAGGGAAAAGAAATAGGCAGTTCAGTCATAATTGGAGCAGATTTCATGCAAAAATCTACTCTTCTCCCTCACCCTCCCTTCTCTCCTTGCTCCAGTGCGGATACTGTTCCTGGGTAATGAACAGAAAACGTGAGACCCCTGTACAATACTATACTGACGGCACCTGGGATAACGCTGCCACTCAGCTCACTCACCTCCAGAGTGAATGAAAATGTTCAACTCATTCACCTCCAGAGCGAATGAAAATGTCAAAAAGACAGGCAGATGGGACAGAGGCTTAAAACATCAGGACTTCAGTCCAGGAGCGTGTGAAGGAAGGCGGGCACACCCCAGAGGATGGAGGAGGGAGCACGACCGTGCCCACAGCTCACAGTGCCAGAAGCAGAACACACTCTTCAGAGCCCCCTGGATTTTAGGAGGAATGTCAACAACTACTTTTCCTTTCTGGAAATTAACCCTAGGAAACTTGTCTCCCTAGGGGAGCACATGTCACCTCAGCGGTGACAGCAGGTCTAATCAGGCATAAATAGGTGTATAACCAAACGAGGGCTCTTGGAGAGAGTGAAGGGTGCTTGGGAAACAGGCCTGACATCTGCAAGGCTGAATGATGGCAGGAATTCATGCTCTCCCACAAAATGGCCTCTAAAATGCAATGTGATCTAAACCAGCGTGGCCTTTGTAAGTTAGTTTCTTACAGAGTAAGTCTCCCCCTACATCGTGATCATCAAGTTTGGTTGATCAAAAACACATACTTTCTGGACATGTCCCTTTGGTATACATAGATTTATTCATGAGTTATATGAATGTACTTATGGTGCCAGGTGGATACTGAAACCATTGGGGGAACACTTTGTAAAATATATGATTATCTACCCACTATGCACACACCTGGAACCAACACAAAATAATACTGAAAACAAACTATAATTGAAAATGGAAAAAAAAAAAAAAGAAATACACTTTACACTGGAAACACGCAACACACAAGGGAACGTGTATATGCATGTTTGTGTTTCACGAGACAAAGGTTACGTGAATCAAAACCTGCTGTCTCATGGGTTAGTGAACACCCTCTGCTGTTTCTATTCAATTCCAGTTCATTTACCAAAACAACAAAAAATACCGTGACCCACTAGGCCAGTGGTCGGCAAACTGCGGCTCGCGAGCCACATACAGACTTCTGCGCATGGGCCACGAAGTTTCAATCGCACTGTACATGCGCACCCACACATGGTATTTTGTGGAAGAGCCACACTCAAGGGGCCAAAGAGCCGCATGTGGCTCGCGAGCTGCAGTTTGCCGACCATGGCACTAGGCTGATGTTTAAAAAATTAGGGTAAATTAAATATAAGTAG